TGACTCTCCTTGGCCTCAGTTTCTTCATTTTAAAATGGGGGTAACCATACCCACCTCATAAGGTTATTGAGAGATACACAGTTGGTGCTCAAAATATGGTAGTTCCCTACCACGTGCAAACTAGCAAAACGTTTTGGGGATTTGTGGGCACTGGCTTTTGCTCCTGAAGAAGTGGGGGAGAGTGGCCCAAGGTGGAGTCAGGTGTGGGCCCTGTAGGAAGGTGTGCAGGTCCCAGCCCCCACGTCCCAGCTGGGACATCGTGCTAGCATGATGGCTGATCTCCAGGGCTTCTCTGTATCCTCAGGAAGGTGGGGAGTGCTAGGATGGGGGGGGGTTCTTCAGTGCACACCCACTGGGATACCTCTGCAGCCCATAATGAGTGTCCTCATCTGAAAGAAACGCTGCCTCTTCCCCTCTACACGGTTACATGGACACAGCCTGTCACATGAACCTGACCCCATTCCCAGGGCCACAGCTGACTGGAGCAGGGCAGCTCCCTGACTGAAGTAGGTCTGGAAATACCTTCCCAAGGACCTTGGCATCAAGCACTGACTGACTGTCCCATTCGGGACCACTGTCCCAGTGGTCTTTTCTCACCCCGGCTCTTCAATAGGGAAGCCGTCAACTCAGGGGCCATTGGTCATGGCCATTCCCCTCACCCCGCTTTTATTTGAAGATCCCCAAACCCGTAGAAAGGTTACAAGAATAGTTCAATGAACACCTATATGCTCGTCACTGAAGTTTATCCATTGCTAAAATTTTTATCCACCTTTGCTTTACCTGTCTTTCGACTTACACACCACCCACATTTGGTTGTCGTTCAACCACATTCGAGTTAGTAACAGACATCATGTAGCTTTACCCGTAAATACTTCAGCATACATCTTGCAGGAACGAGGGTGTTCTTCTACCTAACCCAGGTATAATTATCGCCCTGTGCAAACTGAGCGCCGATATGGGGCTATTATCTAATACTTAGCTCGTGTTATCTGATAGATATTTAGTCTCAAAGTGTCCTTTAGAGCTGGTCACAACCTCAAACGCAGGTCGCCTTTGATCTGGATCACGTCCTCAGTTGTCCTTTGTCTTTTATGACATTGATGTCTTGAGGGGAACCTGGTGTTTCCTCAGTCGCCCTCAGGTTGTGCGAGGTGTCTGGGAGCTCTCCCTGGGCGAGTCTCCGCCCCTGTGGGTCCCACCAGGAGACTCATGATGTCAGCAGCCTAGGATGGGGAGGTTACATTTAATAAGTATTTGGTTAAGGTGGAATCTCCCAGATTTCACCACCTGCCGCTCCCTAAGACTCTCTGACCCAGTGGTTACAGCGTCTTTTATGGATTCTTGCTTAAATCAATTAGTTATAAAATGGTAATTTTCTGTTTATATCATTTCTTCTGTATTCTTCAGTTGAGAAGAGCTTTTCTTCCTCTACTTAAAATTTTAAAAATTATTGGTATGAACTTGTTGATGCTTTATTAGCAGCATTGTTCTGGGGTGGGATTTGTGGGCACTGGCTTTAGCTCTCACAGGTGCAGTCAGGGATGAACGTCATTTAGATGCTCAAATTATCCCAAATTTAGCCCGTGGGAGCCCATTCAGGTGGGCACTTATGTCCCTTTGACATTTCTTCCCGCTGTTTTGAACACTCCCTTACTTTCTGGCACAGGAAGGCGCCCTGGGCTGGTGTTCCCTGAACAGTGGTCATTTTTTAATCACATGGAAGCAGGGATATTGGTTTGGCCATGGAGAGGAGGGTGAGGCAGGCGTGCTCAGAGAAGCAGTGATAAAAATGGACGAAAGAAGCCTTCAGGCTTCGCTATGGCTCATCAGCCCCGATTCCAGTCCTTCCTGGAACCTGCTGCTTCCTAGCCCCTGGGTTCTGAGATGCCCCCATTTACCTGCTGATAAAGCCCCTTCTTGCCTTGGCTGGGGCTGACCCTGCAGGCTTGGTGCATCCAGCCTCCTTTGCTCTGGCCCAAACGAGGCATGAGTCTGGCGTCGGGGCCACAGACAGACATCGGTCTGCACCTGGTGTCTAAGCTCCCACAGGCTGAGAGGTCCAGGGTCCCCAGCCCCAGGGTGGGGTCAGGCATAAGCTGGAGCAGAAACAGGAGCAGGTGCTTGGCTCTAGAAGGGTTCGTCCAAGTCTGGACAGACCAGGTCTGGGATCCTTTCAGTCCAAGGACTTTGCATGCAGCCGGAGACCTAGGGCTCTATTTCAGATGTTGTTTTAAGTGTCTTACAGAAAACTCTTGTCCAAAGCTTGTGGAATCAGTCAGGTGTTTGCCCTCTGACCCTCCCGCTGGGGGTGAAGTATGCTTTCTTGCCCTAGTGAGGCTGGGGCTGGCCACGTGACTTCTTTGGCCAATAAACGTTATCGGGTGGGGTGTACGGAAGCCTTGCCTGGTCTGGCTCTTGGGCTGTAGTGACGTGCCATGAGAAGCGCATGCCCAGGAAGCTGTTGGTCCAAGAGCACGAGAGACATGTGCACAGACGTGAACTCAGTCCGAAGCTTGGAGCCAAGTCTGGCTGAGCCCCAGCTCCATGTGGACCTTTGAGCAAGAAATGGGCTGGTGTGTCCCACTGCATGATTGTACCAACTCTCTAAAAGAGCCCCCAAAGCTGTGTGATTCGGCGCTCACCGAATGCTCAGAGCGCGGAGCCCTGAGCTGGGGATGTCCTAGGAATCTGTCTCCCCTCCCCCGTGACTAGAGACTGAGGCCTGGAGAGGAGATGGCGTGAGATGGGATCCCAACTCTTTGCAAGCTGTGGGACCCAGACCAGACTGAATGAAGTCTTTGGCTTAGTTTCCAAATCTCTCAGATGGTGACAATAATACTTAGCAAGGAGGCGATTTGGGTGATGCGCCAGGCACAGCGTCTGTGTGCAGTATGCCGCGCCGTCTCTGGGTGGCCGTGCTCCAGGAAGTGTGAGCCAGCCGGCCTCCTGCCTTCCCTCCTGGGGCAGGCATATGCACCGATGTTTAACCTCGATTTCTCTCACTTCCTGGTAGTTCCTAGAATACCTCTTGCTTTGACCCTGTCTCTCTAATGGAAATAATTTTATTGTGCTGGTTTTTTTTTTTCTGGGCATAAACATAAAATGGAGGATCCTTATGGCAAAAATGCAGATAGAGTCTTTAAGGAGCCACCAGCAGCTGTCTTTGACCAGCCCAGTCCAAGGGGGGACACTTGTCTGTCCTGTGATGCTGCCACGATGTGACCTTGACCCTGACTGTACTGACCACTGACTTTTGCCCAGGCGTGTGATCTCAGATTGGACAGGGAACCCAGCTTCCGTCTCAGACTCTGAAAAAGAAGGCTGCAGCCTCCAGATCCAAGTGCAAAGGGCTGTGTCCTGTTGTGGGTGACCTTGTCTCTTCCCAGCTGGGTCAGAATCAGGCCTGGTTTGTTCGATTACACTTTGCAGGAGCCAAGGGTTGGCAGTGAAGTGGGGTGGGCTTTATGTTGTGTGGAAATAGTGCGTCCTGAGTAACTCCTGATAACATTGAGGACCTATTCTTGGTGGCGATCAAGGATTCTGCAGATTGGAAAACAGTTCCTTCGTAAAGTTTTCTTGGGCTGCTAACACGACCCTTGGGAGGGGAAGGAGACCAGCACTTAGCAAGTGTCCCCTTCCTTCCAGGCCCTGGGCCAGCACTGCTCACGTGAGCGTCACCTGGACCCCAGGCTCCCTGCTTCCCTTTCTGGCCCAAGCCCAGGTCCAGGTGCCTCTCTGCCTGCCCCACAGCACAGAGGATGTGGATGGATCCAGGGAACCTGTGACGGCGGCCAGCACCACCTCGACTCAGGTCCCCTGTAGGCAGGCTCCCCCCTCTTGGCTTTAGCTTCGCTCTGACCACCCTGACCATTACACGGGTAACAAAGGAGATGGAGACCCTCACCGGAGACCCGACCCTCTCAGCAGCCCCTGTCTGAGGACCTGCATCCTCCCCGGGTGACTGCACCAGAATGGAGCTCTCCCTCCTGAGAGAGGGCCGTCCTCTGCAAACACATCCTCATACCGTGTTGCAGGCACTGCTCTAAACAATTACCCAGGGTAACTCATTCAATCCTCGCAACAACCTTACAAAATGTACCTTTTTTTTTTTTTTTGCGGTACACGGGCCTCTCACCGTTGCGGCCTCTCCCGTTGCGGAGCACAGGCTCCGGACGCGCAGGCTCAGTAGTTGTGGCTCACGGGCCCAGCCGCTCTGCAGCATGTGGGATCTTCCTGGACCGGGGCATGAACCCGTGTCCCCTGCATCGGCAGGCGGACTCTCAACCACTGCGCCACCAGGGAAGCCCCAAAATGTACCATTTTATCCTTATACGTGGTAGGCAGAAAAGTGGCTCCCCAAAGGTGTCCATGGGACCACGCATATGTCACCTTGCATGCAAAAGGGACTGCAGATGTGATTAAATTGAGGACCATGAGCTGAAGCGATTGTCTTGGATGATCAGGGTGAGTCAGTGTAATCACAGGGTCCTTAAAGGTGGGGGAGGGAGAGAGGAAGAGAGATTTGAAGATACCATGCTGCTGCCCTTGAGGATGAAGGAGCCATGGGCCAAGGGATGTGAGCAGCTTCCCGAAGTTGGAGAAGGTGAGGAATCAGATTCCTCCAGCCTCCAGCAAGGAATGCAGCGCTGCCAGCGCCTTGAGTTCAGTCCAGTGAGACCCACTTTGGATTTCTGACCTCCAGGACCGCAAGATAACATGTATGTGTTGTTTTGAGCCTCTCAGTTTGTGGTCACTGGTTACAGCAGCGACAGGAAACGAACACACCGTGCTACAGGTGGGGGAACGGGGGCGCAGAGGCCCCAGCAACGCGCCCAAGGCTGCAGCTGCTGGGTCAGCAGGATCCGAGCCCAGTGGGCGGCGCTCCTGACCCCTCATGGGGCCCTGACCCTTAGGGAAGCCCCACTGTTGCCGGCTATATGGCCTCGGGCAGGTTCTTGAGTCCTCTCCATGTCGGGTGTGCAGATGAGCCAGGAGGCCTCTTAAGAGATGACGACCCCCGGCTGTATGCAGGGGTGCTGTCCGGGGCACAGGTGCCGGACCCACAGCAGCGTCCCCGCTGCCCCACACCCGCCGGGGGCAGGCCCCACCTGGCCCTCCTCCTGGATGGGCCGTAGCTCGTCTTCAAGCTCCTTCTTCCGGATTCCTTCCACAAAGGAGAAGTCCAGGCTGATGTGGGCTTTCCCCAGGGGCGTGTCCACCCTGCTGCCCACAGCCTGGTTCGTGGAATTGGGGACCGTGTCAGAGAAGAGAGGCACGCACTCCAGCAACTTCCCGGGGCTCCTTCTTGTTGCCCTGAGGAGAGGGGACTGTTAGGGTCACCGGCTGCGGGAAAACAGCAGAGGCCTGAGCGGGGAAGAGAAGGGAGCCGGGAGAAGATGGCCTCTGCAGGAAGCATCCTCTGGGTGATCCGACCCCAGATTCCGCTCCGGACCCGGGACTCAACTCTGCAGCCGAGAGATGCACACTCCCTCCTCCTTGCACCCAGGGCTCCCTACACAGGTGCTTCCAGGACCCCTTCACCATGATGCTTGGCCAGCCGAGGGAGGGACCACGCCCTAAACCCCCTCGACCCCACCCCCAGGCCTAAGACACCGCCTCACACGTGGTGGGGACGCCATGTTTTTTGGTTGATTTTTACTTGAAATCTAACGCACACACAGAAAAGTGCACCAGTCACAACTGTACAGCTCAACCAGCGCCCACGCGGTGAGTGCCGTGCAGCCCCACCTGGACCAGGAAATAGAACGCGACCCACCTCAGATGCCTCCTTTTAACCCCTCAGTCACTGCCCCGACCTCCAGGGCGACCTGGGCTTGACTTGTTTTGCCTGGTGTTGAACTCTACCTAACAGGTCCCGGTCTCTTCCCTCTGACTCCTTTCTCTCAAGGATGTGTTCCTGAGATTCACCTGTGTTCCCATGTGTGGTGGCAGCCCCTTGGTTCTCAGTGCTAAACGGTATTCCGCCGTGTGATTTGGGTGAATACTCCACAAGTTATTTATCTGTTCTGCCACGGGGGCATTTGGGTTTGTTTCCAGTTTTGGGGTCTTAGGAGCGGTGCTGCGCTGGACATGCTTTCTGGTGACTTCCGTAACTGATGGATGGAGGAGGGAGTAAATGTCTGAGTTATGACTAATCTGATGAGCCTTCCCTGCCCTTGTTTAGAGTTAACTTTGTGCCGCCCCGTGTCAAACATAAGAGACGGGACCAGTCTTAAGAAACAGGATCCGGGCTCTCAGCTGGCAAAGTCCACGCCGAGGTGGCCCCGTCGTCTGGGCGGGCCGAGGGTTTCAGGGGTCAGGTTGCTCACACACAGCCCGGGGCAGGGAGAGGCTCTGTAGCCTGAGAGCCTGGGCCAGGGGCTCAGGGTAGGAATTCAGGCCCCATGAACTCAATCTTCGATCGCAGGGCAGACGGCAACCCCTCAAGGCCAGCCATACAGATGTCAAACCTTCCCTAAACCCCACAAGGGCCATGCCAGTGTGGCCACCACCTTGGTTGGCTTGTTACACTGCTTGGCTTCCAATCTGGTCTCTAACCATGCTTTATACAGCCAGATTCCTTCTCCCATTTGTTCATTCCTCCAACATGAACTGAGTGCTAAATAGTTATTGGGTGCTGGGGGTGTTGGTGCAGTAATGAAGCCATCTTTATTCTTTCGCCAAGGGAGCCCACGGCCAGGTGAGATTGCTGGTTGCACAATTACACAATGTTCCCAAGAAACGGGTTAGATGTGCCAGTGGGTGAAGACCACAGTGGTCTGGTCATGCTTGCTCAGGAAGGGGAGATTTCTCAGAAGGAGCCATTCGGGCGGGGTCTTGAAGGATGAATAGGGGGCCATCAGGCTGACAAAGTGGGAAGGGAATTTCAGGCAGGGGAACAGCATGCACAGAGGCATGGATAAAAGAGAGCCTGTGTGGGCTTCCCTGGTGGCGCAGTGGTTGAGAGTCCACCTGCCGATGCAGGGGACGCGGGTTCATGGCCCGGTCCGGGAAGATCCCACATGCCGCGGAGCGGCTGGGCCCGTGAGCCATGGCCGCTGAGCCTGCGCGTCCAGAGCCTGTGCTCCACAATGGAAGAGGCCACAACAGTGAGAAGCCCGCGTACCGCAAAAAAAAAAAAAAAAAAAAAAAAAAGAGCCTGTGGGTCACCGTGGGGTGAGCAAGGAGGCCGGGGAGGGAGGCAAGGTTGGATCATGGGAAGTGTTGTAAACCATCCTGAAAAATGCAGATTTACCGAAGGATTCTAAGCCAGGGAGAGATATAGTCAGTTTGGCAGTTTAGGAAAATCACTCTGGTAGAGGATGGACTGGCGGTGGTGATATTAGACACAGGGAATTAGTTTACAAAGCATGTTCACCCAAACTCATTCTTTTTGTGGCGCCAACCCCACCTCACTCTACACTGCGGACATCCTCAGGCAAAGGAAAACATTTCCGCAGCTGACGCCTGTCGTTTCCACGGGTTCGTCTTACTAAAATCAAGAAACACTGGGGAAAAGTAATTTCTAAATACTCTACGTAAGTCTTTTCTTTCCCACCAGACCCCGAGTTTCTTGACACAAGGTTGCATTTTATTGGTCTCTGTACACTTCAGCATCAAGCACACAGCAGGTCCTCAATAAACATTAGATGAATAAATAAACATTCTAAGTGCAAGTAAGTCGGACAGGAACGTGGTTTGTCTTACCATGGGGTCATAGTCTTTCAGGAAACTCCAGTTCTGACCCCTGGATAGAAAACACGGTGGCAGTGTGAGCCCTCCCTGCGACATTTTGACCATGTTTGTCCCCGGGTCACAGGAATCAGTTGCTGACACGGATGCATGGATTACATCACGGAGGAACTAAAATCAGTAAGTGGAACAGATGCCGAGGATCAACAAGTGTTTATGGTGGAGCCTGTAAAATGAACACACATTTCAATGGAGTGGAAACTCTGATGCCAGAGGGTGTAGCAGGTGCGTCAGGAACCCGGATGCCGTCTCACCTGTGCCGGGGTCTGATGGGGTATCTGCCAGTATTTCGCGAAGAAAAACCAGTTTTCACTTCCCCAAAGCCTGGCAACCTTCCAGTGCGTGCGGCAGAGGAAGGTAGGGCGGGGGAGGGAAAGTGACAGTGAGAAAAATGGTGCCAGCTGTGCTGGTAGCTTAATTTTTAATCTATTTTTTAAAAGTCAAACAATTCTCTAAGACTTGGAAGAAAAGCAGGTTTCTCTGCCCCAATCCTCAGAGCCCGCGAGACCCACAACCTAGAGTCAGTTTCTTAGCTGTTTCTTCAAGCCTTTCACCTCCATATTCTGAAAGAATAAACGTGCACTGCCATTTCTTGAGGTCCTAAAAATGTAAACTTACCTACTGGCTTTCTACTAGGGGAGATTATGAATTAGCATTCTTCACCCTTTCTTCTTCCCCATTTCTTCCAAAATCATTGCATTATAGATGTTGGTTCACTTGATATGTATGGTTTATATCCTTCTAATTATATAAATACTATTCATTGATGAACTAATTATACTACTTATTGCATAATATGATCCCAGTTCCTTTCTTTGTGCAGCCTAGAATTCTTCCTAGCGTTAATAATGACATTTTCCCTGATTATCTTAGGTTTCTATGTACTGATCACTGATTCCAAACTCTCCAAATAAATTGTAAGGCTCCCTCTCAATATTATTTTCCACACAATCAAATGCATCAGGTCATAAACAATTTCTTTTAAATGTTTTCTCCAGGGAATTCCCTGGCAGTCCCGTGGTTGGAACTTGGCGCTCTCACTGCCGGGACCCTGGGTTCGATCCCTGGTCTGGGAACTAGGCCACGCAGCACGGCCAAAAAAAGAAAAAAATTTTCTCCAGAGCCCGAGCCCTGGGACCCTGGGTCCTCTCCCTCCCTGGGGCTGGCTGCTCTCCAGGACCACCATGCTGGGATTCCCCTCTTTCTGGACCCTGTGCCTTCCTTGCTTGTTTTCCCTCCTGTTGTTGTGGAGCACATCCTCCAGTATCTGTGCATTCACGTATTTCTGTGGTTCTGGAAAGTTCTCATTTTCTCTTCAAGTAGTTCATGTCCCCCATTCTCTCCTTGGGGAGCTCAGTTTGAAGGTATGTTGGATCTTCTTGCCCTGTTCCCTAGGATTTTAGCTCTTCTTTCATGGTTTCCATTGTACTGTTCTTCTGAGTAATTTCTTTTTCTTTTTCCTTTTTTCAAAAAGAAAACTTCCCTTTATTCTATTATTAGTTGGAAAAATTAAATGGCACTAGACGGTCCTGTCTTTGTACATGTCCCCTATACCCCAACACATACACACACACACACACACTCTCTCTCTCTCTCTCTCTCTCCAATCCATCAGCAATTCTCGTAGTTCTACCACCAAAACATTCCTTGCATTCTTCCACAGATCTCCAGCTACACTTCCTCCACCCGAGCTCAGGCCACCACAGACTCGCCCTGCTGTCCCCAGTTTCTTAAACGTCATCACCCCTGCCCACCATTTCGATTCTTTCTAAGCATAGCGGCCAGACTGGTCATTTAAACTGTAAATTGGTCACATCAGCCTCTTGCTTAAGACCCTCCAGGGCGTCTCATGACATTTGAAAAAAAGTACCTAGACTTTAGTAAGTGCGTGGGTGTTTCCTCCTACGGCTCTTGTCCCCTCACTGACCGCCTTGGCCACATGCACGTTCTTTATGTGGTGGTGTTTTTTTTTTTTTTAAATACACCAGACTCTTCCGTGGCCCCTTCTCATACTTCAGGTCTCAGCCTGAATGCCACCTGCTCAGAGAGGCCTCTGTGAACTCCTGGAAAAACAAGGCGTGCACTCTGCCCAGTCCGTTTCCTCCTGACACCAGCCACACTTTGCTCCTTGTGCCTCTGTTGCTTTTTGGATGCCTTGTCCTGAGAGTGAGGGCTCCGTGCAGCCGGGACCAGGCCCGTCTTGCCCGCCACGGCAGCCTGACAGGGCAGCTCTCCTAGGAACTTCTGGACTGAGTGATGCTTGCAGGCACGTCCTTTGCTGGGTCAGAGGGCCAGCATCCTGCCCCAGGCTGCAGCCACGGCGTCATGTCTGCCCCCTACCCGCCGGTGCACTTTATCCCGTGAGCTCCAGCTGCAGGGCTTATTGCAACGGGCTGATGGGCTCCCCGGATGCACCAGGTGCGGCTGCCCCGCCCCCCTTGCCGGGCCCTGCTGTTCACTCTGTTGAGTTTGCCCAAGGCTGGGCTCCCTCACCTTCCCCGGCTCAGGTTCTCCCCCCGCAGCCCAAGCGCTTTTCCACCACCGCCCTTGACCTGGCTTACTCCCTCTCACCCGTCTCTCGTCTCTCTTTCTCCAGAAGCTTCCTAGACCCTGAGTTAGGTGCGGGGTGCCTCTGGGGGGGTGGGGGGGAGCAGGGCCCGCACCAGCGCCGCTGGCTCCTCGTCCGGCCTCTAGACCCTCCACAGCTGGCCCCGCTGCGCACCATCAGCTCCCAGGGCCGCTTGCGCGGCCGTCAGGGCCTGGGGGGCACCAGCAGGGCTCCTGCCCACCAGAGGCCCATCCCGAGCAGAGGAGGAGAAAAGGCTGTCGGTACCCAGCTGATGTGGTTCTCTGGAGCCCAGGGGTGGGGTGGCTTCCCATGGGTGCAGGGGTGTGCGTGCGCGTGTGTGCGCGCACGTGCGTGCGTGTGAGTGTGCGTGCGTGTGTGCGTGTGTGTGCGTTTGTGCATGCGTGTGACCTCTCCCAGGCCTCTATTGCTCGGACCTCCTCAGACACCGTCCCCCGTGGCTTCTGCCCTGGGCACGCCACACTTCTGGGGCTCTCAGCTCCTTCTTACCCGCTGTGTGTTGGCAGAGTCATGGTTCTTCCCATGAAACTTTTCAGTGGGCTGACCCAGCTGGGTGTGGTGCTCCCACCTCTGCATGACTGGGAAGCAGATACTGGGGCGGATGGCCACACACACACACACACACACAGCCCTGCTACGTGGAGGGTGCATGAAGTGCCCCAGTGTGTGGGCACAGATGCAGCCAACACACCAACCCTCCTCTGCGTGCCCCGCCCTGGGCACCTCTTCTGGATCCTGTTCTCATGAAGGAGGTGCCAAGGGGTTGGGTCTTCATGGGTGAAAAGGATTTACCAGGTGGAAAAACTGGGGCAAATGCAAAAGCTTGGATGCAAGAGAGAACATTGGTATTTGAGCAGTGGCATTGGGGCTGGAGGGGGGCCCCGGACCCCGGGCTGTTTGGAGCTGTGTCGAGAGCTCCTGCACAATGGGGACATTGCTGCCTTCAAGCCTCAGGGCAAAGAAGATCAGGAAAGGACGAGCAGGTGAGGTGACGTGGCCGTGGTCCAGGTGAGAGGAGGTGGCGGAGCCCACGCTGGCCTTGGTAGAGGGCTGGAGCGGAGGAGACGGGGTGAGAGCCGCTGGGCCACACAGAGCTGCCAGCACTTGTATGAGGAAGGAACTGAGCGGGTGTGACCTGCTGGGACATCAGAGTAAAAGCAGAGGCTGTGGGGCTGGGACCCTGTCTCTCCTCCTCCCTCTGTGCTTCCTCCAGAGCTGGGATGAGAATGGCTGGCATTTGGTGACTTTGAAGTTTGTCTCCAAAAAAGATGAACCGAAAACCCCTGGGGCCCAGAAGCAGGCTTCCCTGGCGGTTGCTCTCTCTTGGGTGTTTGTGACCCCAGCACAACCAGGACAGGTCCCTGCTGTGCCTGAGGAGTGGCGGCTCTGACCTCCTGGAACCTCTGGAAGGGATCCCGTGAGTGCATTTTGAGAGCACAGTGCCTGCTATGTGGAAAACCACCCATAAGGCTGACTGCGGACTGTGGTACAGAGTAGCTTGGAACAGCCTGGAACAGCCTGGAACAGCCGTGCAGTTTGCTCAGATACCTTGGCCCTCGTCCCCCAGCCACATGCTCCAGAGACAAGGAACAGGACCAAGAAGGCCAGCAGGGGGCGTCCAGGATGACCAAGTGCCTGATGCATGGGGAGGCTGAATATTTCCATGGGCTTTAGTTTTAAAAAATTAAAATTTATTCAGAAACTATTTCAGACTGATCGGTGGTAGAGGGATGGATCGATATCAACAAAGCAAATACAATAAGGCGTTAATTGTAAATCTAGGGGATGGGTATATGGATGTTCACTGTACCAGTCTTTCAACCTTATTTTTTTTTTTTTTATAAACTTATTATTTATTTATTTTTGGCTGCATTGGGTCTTCGTTGCCGCGCACCGGCTTCCTCTAGTTGCTGCGAGCGGGGGCTACCCTTCGTTGCGTTGCGCGGGCTTCTCATTGTGGTGGCTTCTCTTTGTTGCAGAGCACGGGCTCTAGGCGCATGGGCTTCAGTAGTTGTGGCTCGCGGGATCTAGAGCGCAGGCTCAGGAGTTGTGGCGCATGGGCTTAGTTGCTCCGCGGCATGTGGGATCTTCCCGGACCAGGGCTCGAACCCGTGTCCCCTGCATTGGCAGGCGGATTCTTAACCACTGCGCCACCAGGGAAGCCCTCAACTTTTTTATGTGTTTAGAAATTTCCAAAATAAAATGTTGATGGGAGAAAAGACTGCACCTGCCAGTCCAGCTTGAACACATTTTCTTTCCACAGTCACTGACCTGGAAAAGCATCCGGATTCCCTCTGGGCGGGTCTCACTGAGCCCCAGCCCAGGACGACCCTCCACCCCACCTCCCCAGCCCCATGGAATCAGGGCACCGGGTTCCAGTCCCAGCTCTGCCAGTGACTTGCTAGGTGTCCCAGAGAAAGTCATTGCCCCTTGCACACCTCACGACTTGTGATATAACTTTATATATGACTTTCTGAGAGAGGACAAAAATCCCTGGATTTGGGGGGTTGCTGGAGCTGTATTTTATAGGGTTTATCTCAACCCCAAGAAGGACCTTAACCGCAGTGCTGGTAGATCTGTACAGCCTGGGCTCAGGTGTGCCCAGTGACAGGCACCGCAGACTAGGCCAGGTGGGAGCAGCACCTGGGGAGGTCCCCAAAGCTGGGGGAGGCCCCGCTGGGCTGGGAGGTGGGGGCGGGGCTTGCTCGAGGAGCCCCGCCCGCTTCGTGTAGACTCCACCCCTTCCGTGTTGGCCGTCTAGAGAGAGTCCTTAACAGTAGTTCCCCACTGCGGGGTAAGGCAGAGGGGCCCGAGAGACTTGCAGGGAGCCCTTGGAGCAGGTTTAAAGAGCTGAGCAAGCGTCGGGAGGGAGCAGAAATGAGGTTCAGCGGAGGAGAGGGCGGGGATTGGGTGCCGGAAGAAGCGGGGCTCGGGGAAGGCAGGGGCGCTGCCAGGAAATGTTTGTCTGCATCTTTCAGGCCTCCTTCTTCTCCGCTACACCTCCCTTTCCCGGATAAAATATTTGGCTCAACACTAATCCCCTTTTCCCTGCGTGCACACACCTTGAAGGCTTTATAAAAGGCGGTGAAAATAAAGGATTCAGGGCCACGGTTCACACCTTTCCAACTGCTCCTACCAAGTCCCCAGAAAGTTTCTTAGTTTCCTAGGACAGCATCATGAAAGGTAATTTAGCTGCAGCTAAATCGACACCCCTTTGTCATCCAACCCAGCCCAACCACTTTCACTTTTGAAAACTCACTTTCCATCTTACTGCTTGTTATATACTTGCTGTCAATGTCCCCACCATTTTGTATGCAGCTTAAAAAAAAAAAAAAAAAAGTTAGCCTATTGGAAACATCTTTTCGTGTTTCTCTTTTCATACCTCTCACTTTAATCCGTTTCTTAGAGTTGATATACCTTAATTTACTTAGCCATTTTTTCTGTTCTTGGGCATTTATTTTGTTTTCAGGTGTGGCATTAGCTGTGATGAATATCTTCCTGCCTCTGTTTCTTTCTGTTGAATTGTTTCAACAGGACACATTCCCAGAATGGGATTGTGGGTCAAAGCACACAGACATTTTAATGACTTTCAGTGTATAGATTCAATGTTGCTCTCCAGCAAGGCCTGAATGTGTCAGCTTTACTGGTCTTGCCAGAACCGGGAGCTGGGTGGTGTGTCAGGGTCTCCGAGACCACCCCAGGTTGATGATCCGCTAGGAGGGCTCACAGGACTCAGCCTATGGTGATACTCACGGCTGTGATTTATTATGGCAAAAGGAAACAAAGCAAAATCAGCAAAGAGAAACGGCACGTGATTTGAAGTCCAGAGGAAACGAGGTGCAAGCTTCCAGAACCCTCATCCGGTGGAGCCACACGGATGAGCTCAATTCCCCAGCAGCGAGTCGTGACAACACATGTGAAACGTTGTCCACCAGAGAGGCCCCTTGGAGACTTAGCTCCCAGGGGGCTGGTCACGTAGGCACCCTCTGCCTAGCACATACCAAAATCCCAGACTCCCGGGAGGAAAGCAAGGGCTCAGCTTAAATCATATTGGGGCACAAACTGGTTATGCACAGTGAGCCGTTCTTTTCAGGGGATGGAGGGAACCCTCCCGAAATCCAGGGTCCCGGACACCAGCGAAGGGCCAGTCTTATGAGCAGGCTTTCTGAGGACAGCAGTCTCAGGCCTGCTGTATCAAGTCTTCTGTTCTCGTGCCACGTGGCTGCCTAACACCAACTACCCCTGTTTTCCCCAGGAGCGTCCTTGAAAATTTCCAGCAATTAGGCGCTCTACATTTTCAATACCAGTCTAGGCTCTGGGATATAATTTAAATATTCCCTGATAGATAATTACATTAAAAATAGCACATGTATAGCACTTCAGGACTGAGAGTGTGCTCCCCTGCATTTCTCCCTGACGCATCATGACAGCCTTGTGCGGAGGGCTGATCACGTCTGGATTTGGGTGCAGAGCCTGGGGGCTCAGAAAAATCACCACCCTCACTGCTTGCACGGGCAGGAGATGCGGTGCCAGGACCAGAGCCCCTGCTGGCAGCCATTTTTGGTCTCGTCTTAAATTGTTATTTGCAGGGAACAGCATCCCTCATAAACAGTCTTACTTTGGCTGTGCAGAAAAGAAACTCAGTGGTTGCTACTCTGGAGGCTCTGGATTCCTGGGAGTTGGGAGCAGTGGAAAAAATATTCTGGGCCATTGTCTTTATTTTCTTTATTGTTTTCTATATTCTGTAACTTCCCCCTAAGAGGCAGCTGAGTGCGTTTCAGGAGAAAGAAGTCGAATTGGGGATGATTGCAATACTCGTCTGGGGCAGCAGGGGGCAGTCTGTAGCTTTGCATCCTCTGTCGGGCCTAGAAACACCAGGTACCTCTCCAACAGTCTTCCCAGGGCTCCCGAAAGAAGCCAGGCGTCTTTCAGGTTTGAGGCACTGTGAGAATGAGTGTGACGTCCAGAGAAGGTGTCCGTGATGGAACCCAGCAGCGGGCCCTCGGTGAACAGTGGCTCAGGGCTGGGGTGAGGCTTTAACAACAGGTAGGGCCCTGGCCCGGCCGGTCGGAAAGGACTGGAGGCCTCCCGCTTGCAGGTGTGCAGAGGTGAGGGCTGGAGGAGAAGGGGCAGCTCTTTTCCAGTTGCTCTGGGGGGCTATCAGTGTTTTAGCAACTGCACCAGTACTTGCCCAGGTGCCTTCCAGCACAAGGGCCGTGGTGTCAGTGGCCCATAGGATTGGTTTCTTTCCCAAGACAAGGGGACAAACTACACTCTAATAGTGGACCAGGCC